TTGCTTGAGTTTTTGTTGCGTTTAAGTTTAATTTATTCAAGCTTGCCCAGGCACTGATCCTATCTAGGTCTTTCTGAATATTCGTAAACGCTTCTAATAACTCAGTGGGCGGAAAGGAAAGATAAATTTGGGAGTCATCAGCATATAGATGGTATGAACCATGGTGGATTGAAATAGGAAGGTCATTGATGTAAGAATTAAAAAGCATAGGAGAAATGCTTGAACCCTGGGCTACTCCATGAGACAAAGTGAGGAAAGAAGATAAGGGTTGATGCAGAATACTAACAGCTTGAGTCCTGTCAGAAAGGAAGGATTGGAACCCTAGGATAGAACTATTGGAGAAGGATAGTGATTTTAATTTAGTGTAGAGGATAGAATGGTCTAAGGAATCCAATGCTTTGGAGAAGTCCAGGAGTACCAATACTGTCAGTTTTCTTTAGTCAACTGCAGTGTGTAAGTCGTTTGTGATTTTGTCTAAAGCGGATTGAGTGGAGAAGCCCGGGCGAAAGCCAGATTGGAGAGGATCTAAAAGTTTGAACTCTTCGAGAAAATTGGAAATTTGGGATTGGACTATTCTTTCGAGGGGTTTTGACAAATTTGAGAGGATGGAAATTGGACGATAGTCTTTAGGAGAGGTGGGGTTAGGGATTTTGTTAATGGGACGGACTAAGGCTTTTTTCCAAGATGTAGGGAAAACAGAATTTTGAAGGGAAAAGTTGTAAATGAATAGAAGAGCTGGAAGGATTTCAGGAAGGCATAATTTTAACAGTTTGATGGGTATTCCGTCAATTCCTATAGAGTCGGATTGGGATTTCATTATGGAGGAAATAAGGTTCGTAGGAGTGATGTAGGAAAAATAAAAATTGTCACTATTAAATGCAGATGATACAGATATATGGGAAGAGGCGGGAGAAATATTACTAGAGGAGGAGGATAAAAAATAGGAATTTAAAGCATCAGGAGAGACTGGGACAGCTATGGAAGAAGATTGTATTATTAAATCATACAAAAATTATTATTTTTATTCATAATGGAAATGCTATAGTTAATGAAAATACTAAATGGCTGGATCTAGTAAAAATATATGGCATTAATCCTATAAAATTATTAATTAAAATAAATAAAAATAGAGATTGTTATTCCTTCAGAATTAATTCCTAAAAGAAGTTTAAATTCATTATGGAATTTTTGAGTAACACTTAAATATAATGTATTGATTCGATTAGGCAAGATTCAAAATGAATAAGGTATAATAAATAATATTAAGAATGATCTTGTTCAGTTTAATGAATATTTTAGAGAGGTGGCTGGATCAAAAGTGGAGAATAAATTTGTTATCATTTTCAGTTTAATTGAGTTATAATGTTTTTATTAATTGATTTTTTTTTTAATTCCTTTTTAAAATTAAAGTATAATAAAATTATAACTATAAAATATGTAGTAATAAATATAAGGAATAGAATTTCTCATCATAAGGGTGATATTTGAGGCAATAAAGATTACTAATAATAGTAATTTTAATTTGACAAATTAAGGTTTTGATATTAAACTAAATTTTTAGGATATTCATTAAGAGTAGTTTTTATTTACTATATTTTGGTTTAAGAGACCAATGCTTAAAGTTAAGCCACTTAATGATACTAATTTAATTCATTTTAGGAAATTTTCAGTTGTTGTTCTTTCAATAACGATGGGTATAAATCTATTGTTTGCACCACAAATTTTGGAGCATTGACCATATATTCATCCTGGACGATTAATATTTATAGTTCCTTGATTAAGTCGTCCAGGTACTGCATCAATTTTAATTCCTAATGCGGGTACTGCTCATGAATGTAATACATCTGCTGCTGTAATTACTACACGGATTTGTGTATTTATGGGTAATACAGTACGATTATCTACATCTAATAATCGAAACTCTTCTGGTTTAAGTTCATTTGTTGGTTTTATATAAGAGTCAAATTCTGTTTCTCTGAAGTCTGAATATTCATATCTTCAGTATCATTGGTGTCCGATTACTTTTAGTGTAATTGATGGATTATTAATTTTGTCAATTATATATAATAGCCATAGTGATGGCAATGCAATAAAGATAAGGGTAATTGCTGGTATTATTGTTCAAATTAATTCAATTGTTTGTCCTAAAAGAAATCAATTAATTAATTTATTTTTTGTTAATGATATTATAATATAAGCTACTATTACAGTAATTATTGATAGAATTATAATTGCATGATCATGGACAAATGTTAATTGTTCTATAAGGGAAGAATTTGCATCTTGAATTATAATATTTCCTCATGTTGCTATTTCTAATAAAAGATAATTATCTTTATATATGAAGCTTAAATTCATTGCACTAATCTGCCATATTAGAAGATTGATGTTAATATAGGAATTTCATTATATGAATGTTCTGATGGGGGTGTTTTTTGTATTCATTCAATTCTTGATGTTATGTTTTCGTTAAATATAACTACTCGTTTTGTAATTAATCTTTCTCATAAAATTATAATGAATATGATAATTCCGATTATTGATATGATTCTTCCAATTGATGAAACAATGTTTCATCTAGTATATCTATCTGGATAATCTGAATACCGTCGAGGTATGCCACTTAATCCTAAAAAGTGTTGCGGGAAAATGTAATATTAACACCTATGAATATAATAATGAATTGGATTTTTAATCATTTAGGATTGAGTGTTATCCCTGTAAATAGTGGGAATCATTGAACGAATCTTCCTATAATAGCAAATACTGCACCTATTGATAATACGTAATGGAAATGTGCGACTACATAATAGGTGTCATATAAAATAATATCAATTGATGAACTGGCTAGAATTACTCCTGTTAATCCTCCAATTGTAAATAAGAATACAAATCCTAATGCTCATATTATTGAAGGGGAATAATTTATTTTAACACCATGTAAAGTTGCTAATCATCTGATTATATTACAGAATGATGAAAGTCAAGAAACCATGCCCCAAGAGAGAGATCATGCAGTGCCATAATTGTCAGGTGTACGGCTACACTAAGACTTATTGTCACCATCTGCCTTATTGTGTGAAGTGCGGTGAACAGCACAAGTCTGTGGAGTGCAACAAACCGATACAAGATCCTGCAGTGAGTGCACTATGCTTGGAGGGCCATCCGGCCAACTACAAAGGCTGACAGATTTACAAGAGTCTCAAATCTAGACACCAGAAAAACTGGATTCAAGATGAAGCAGTAAGACCAAGAAGAGAGAGAGAGAACCTTCAAGAATAGTGAACAATAGTGTATCATTTTCCCAGCTACTTAGAGGTAAGAACTCATCTGATAAATGTCAATCCCTACCGCAACAACCTGAACCCTAACCTCAAAATCATATTCGTCCTAATATACCTAACCATCAACAACAAATTCAACAAATCCCTCCTCCCACAAATGGAACAGATCTTACCAGTTTGTTAGCATCTATCCTCGCCGATTTCAAATCCCTAGTAACTCCACTCATATCACTACTCACAAATCTTGTTTCTCACCTCATCCCTCCTTTAAAAAATCCTTAATGACTCACATCCCAAAACCCATATCCATTCTACTTTAGAATGCAAATGGTGTTAGAAATCATGTTGACGAACTAACAGCTTTACTACTGGACAAGAACATTGATGTAGCACTAACTACGGAAACTCGACTGACCACAGCTTTTAAAAATACTTCAATACATAACATACCATACTAATCATCCTGACGGTAGACCACATGCCGGTACTGCTATTATTGTACACCAATCCCTTTCTCATCACCAGCTTACAATACCGACTCAAGATTTCCTACAATCCATCACCATCATAATCAAAACCTCCTTTCCTGTCACCATAGCATCAGCATATTGCCCTCCTAAGAGATCCATATCCAATGTCCAGTTCAGTTTCCTTCTCAACTCCTTAGGACATCACTTCATCTTGGGTGGAGATTTAAACACCAAACATCATCAATGGGGCTCTAGAACCACAAATTCTCGTGGTAGAACATTGCTATCTGCACTCAATTCCCGTTTCAGTCTCCTTCCTCCTAACTCACCTACCTACTGGCCCACAGATCCTAACCGCAATCTCGATATCCTTGATTTTTCATCCACAGTGGCTTAAGTCCCCTCAATCATTCCCTTACCCATCTTAACTGTAGGGAACAGCAAAATTTTCTAACATCAAACGTATCCAGTCCAAAGTCCTTCAAACAATAGTCGATGCTCCTTTCTTTGTAACCAACAAAACCTTACTCCATGACCTTAATATCCCATTTGTCCTAGACCTTATCCCAGCAAAATTCTCCCAATTTCACCAGAGCCTTACCTATCATCCGAATCCCTTTGCACAATCCCTATCCAGCACCACCCATCCCTATAATCCTCAAAGAAAGTTGAAACAGCAGTGGCCCCACACCTTTTATAGTTTGTAAATATTGGAATTCTGACAATGGCCAGATTCTCCACTCACGATATGAGTGTATGTGGGTGGCTAAAGCACTCTCGCTCAATTTCCACTGGGTTTAGCCCCAGTGGCATGGCTGAGAGAGAAGTGCAGGGATCTCCTGGAGTCATGCTTTTCCCTCCACAGTTAGAGGGACAAGTTTGGCTCGGAGTTCTCTCGCCTAATTGTAAATAGTGTATATAGGTATGTATGTGTTCTTTTTTATTTATTTATTTTTAGGTTATTCTATACTTATTTATTGTATATATATATTATTATTATTGTACATAGAGTGTGAATGTGATCTCTGAACACTATTATAAATGTCCTTTGAGACAGATAGTAATATTTTCAATAAAGAAAATTAAAATTTTTGTTTGTTTTTTACTCCCATAATTTATCTTAATCACTTCATCACATCAATCAGCTTAAGTTTACTAATAATAAAAATACATAATCTATTTTTAAAACTTGTTCATCACAGCTTCATTAAGTATAAATATTTAAAAGTAAAAAAAAAAAAAATCTTTAAATTCCAAAATCATTTTATTTCTAAATTATTACAAAAATACATCACATGCATTATTTATATTTTATTTCTTTATAAAACAAACTAAGTCATCACACAAATTTCTTAAAGGTACAAAGTGAATTAATACAAAACAAATTAAAACATATAATCACAGCCATTAATTGATAATTTTACACAGGTAATTCAAATATTTTAAATAGCAATTGTTAAGAAAATATATGATAAGTGTTTTATTTCTCTAAATCATGAAAACAAGCAAGGGTATATAGCAAATATTTGACCCCAATATTTAGTAAACCTGTCAATATCTATGATGAGACTGATGGTTTACAAATACGCTGCCCACCCATGAAACATTTGACACAAGTTACGGATATCAGTAGCTTCAGAAACAAGTGACCTTACTTGTCCTTCAACCGACAAGCCCTTTGTCTTCTTTTCTAGAGTGATGACAGCTCCAGCTAGTTTCTTTTGAACAACACTGATTTCATATTTAGTCTAGAAAAAAAAAAAAAGTTATATATTTATGTGTGTGTGTGAGTGCGTACGTGTATGCTGGGAAAGTTTGTTGTGAAACAATCAAGGTAAATCCACTACATCAAATTTATTTTATTTTTTATCTGTAATTCAGCATATATTGTAAATCATAATCAGGGCCTCCCAATGAAAACTCTTAACATAGTGGCACATTATCATTATTTCCACAGAACCTCTTTACTCATTTGTTTAGTGCATCTTTCCTCCTGATTATTTTTAGACCTGATGATGAGACACAATATGGTTTGAAACACAGATTTATAATGATCACAAACATACCAAAACTTAAAAACAACATAGAAATACACTGCTTCAAAAAAGTTTACATACACTTAGTTTTTCTTTAACATTTCTAATAATCTATTTATTATATTATTTTTATTAATCAGGAAGGGTAGTAGAGGTAAAGGTGTACCAACACGATAACAAGTATATGCTGGATCACTAATTCCATAGCAGGAAGAGATACAACTTTAATATGAATACGCAGTACATGTTAAACAGACAAAATGAATTAAAATTGTTGCAGGACAGGCCTCCCAAGGAAATTGGATAGAATTCATAGGAGGACTAGTCGTCTGAACCAGGTGCATATAATCCCTGTACAACTGCAATATCCTTAGCCAGTGGCCTTAAAAGAGATTACAAGGTATGTGTAAATCCAGAAACTGTCAGGAATGTTCTAAGAAAGAAAGGTTTTCATGGACGAATTGCATGAAAAAAGCCAAACAAATAAGAAGAAGTGGTTGGATTTTACAAAGGAGACACTTCGAGGCACCAATGTGATCCTACAGTAAATTCCCAGCCATTGAAGGATTCCGGGAAACGTTGAGGCTGATAGTCTTGCCAAGCGGGGAACAGAATTGCCTTAGCCGATACATCCAAAATCTTACTATTCAATACGGCAAATGGTAAAGATACTAGTGAAGGAAGAAATCAGAAAAGCACACTTGGGCAAAGTGGAAGGGAAGCACTATGAGTGTTTGAAAGATAATCCGATTCCAGCTGAACTGCCGAGAAGAGATGCAGCTACCTGCTTCCACCTGGCCACTGGTCACGATTATCTGCAGAGTCATCTCTACAAGATAGGCATGGCTGAGGATTCTAGTTGTAAATTGTGTGATCAAGGATGCAGACCATCTAGACACATGTCCTGCCTTGACGGACATAAGAGCAAAAAACATTTTTAAATATATATATTAAAAAATCGAAATTATACTGGGCAGCAAGATGCCAGATGGCCAAATGACCAACGACTTTGGCATAAGAAAAAAAAAAATGGAGTAAGCCAATAACCCAGAAAGTTTCGGGGAGTTTGTGATTTTCTCAGGCGAATCCAAATTCAACCTTTTTGTACAACACGACAGATGTCACATCTGGAAAACACATAAAGAAGCACTTATTTCAAAAAATTTGAAACCAACCTTCAATCCTGGAGATGAAAGTGTAATAGTATGGGGGAGTATGAGTGGTTTAGAAGTTGACAATTTTGTTTTTATTGATAGAATTATGGAGCAGCGTGTATTCCCAAACATTCTAAGGAACAATTTAAAAAGTTCTACTGAAAAACTTGGACTTATGCCGGGGTTTATTATTTAACAGGACAATGATCCTAAGCACAGTGCCAAAAACGTAAAACAATAGTTAATCAACAATTTTCCAAAACAGTTGCACACTTCTCCCCAATCACCAGACATGAACCCAATAGACCATTTGTGGGATGAATTAGGACAGCACATGAAAATTCATGGTGTTTGAATTGAAGAAGATCTCAAAGCAGCTCTATTATTATTTATTTATTTACATTCCACCCTACCTGCATAAGAGCATACTACTGCAAGTGAAACAGTTTAAAATATATTATCTTTGGTGAAGTCATATCAAGGGTGTCCGTCTTCCGGCGGTCTTCTTGGTGGTGGTCCTCTTCTCCGTGCTCCGATGTTGAAGTGGGCTGGACCCACTGCCTCCTTCCAGTCATAAATGAATTTCTTGAACCGAGGGAAGTTCTCCTTACTTACCAACTGAGGAAGTTCATCCTCTGTTAGGACGTAAATTCCTGCGGTTCTCATCATCGTTGCCCTTATTCCTTCAAATGCAGTGCAGGCCATGACCACGTGCTCGACAACAGTCTCCAGAACTCCACAAGTGGGGCATTGGAGATCTATGTCCTGGCCAAAGCCATGTAGCTTAGCTCGAAAACCCCCATGCCCCGTGAGGAACTGTGAAATCCAATAGTCCGGGAGGATCCATTGTGCATCTAACCGGGACTGTACGGTGGGGAAGTATTTTCTGAGAGTACTCCCTTTCAGGGTAGCAACCCACTGACAGCTCCATTCCTCAATCGTATCCTCCAGGATTATCTTCTTCCATTTGTTGGGACTTTCCGCAATCCTCACCCGTAGATTTTCTGGAACTCCAGCCAAGCCTTCTTTCTTGAATTTATGCTTGGTCACATCTTCTCGCAGGAGGAGGTCGAGAGGTACCGCCCCCGCTAGGACCTGCACTGCTTCATGTGACGTCCTAAATGCTCTGGTGACACGCAACAGGGCCATCCTCTGGATCGACGCCAACCTTTTTCGCTGTCGCTGTGTGAGGTTCCTATACCAGGAGGGAGATGCATACCTCAAGATACCCAGCACAACGCCTTTGTAGATCGTCATCGTTGCAGGGTATCTGAGGCCCCAGAATGCACCCCCAACACGACTGAGTCCGTTCAAGGCTTGGGTCACCTTAGTTGCTAGATAATCCAAGTGACGTGTTATATTTAGGCCTTTTACTAACCTTAAACCAAGATATGTTACCACCTCACTTGAGCGTATTATTTGACCTTCTATATCCATGCTAATGGGGTGTGCTCTATCAGTCGTGCTTTTCAAGAGGATGGCTTGCGTCTTTTCAGCAGCCATACGCATTTTCTTTCCCTCACACCATCTGGCTACAAGGTTGGCACATCGCTCTGCTGCTAGTTTGATCCCCGCCCTGCTGTTGGATGCCACCACAGCAGCTAGATCGTCAACATAGGCAGTGGCAGAGAACCGCTCATTTTCAAGCACTCCCAGCAACTCATCAAAAACCAGCTTCCATAGAGCAGGACCCAGTACTGATCCCTGAGGGCATCCCCTCTCTACGGAAGCTTCTACCTCGTAATAGCTGCCTTTGATCTTCACTCGCCTGTCCTGAAGATAGCTCCTTACGAGGGCATATAGGTTGCTGGGAGCGTCATATTTTTGCAGCTGCTAGAGTACGCAGGGCCACCATAAACTATCAAAGGCGGAGGATATATCAAATGGGAGCAGCATGATGTATCGCTCCGCCCTTTCTTCAACATCTCTGCGAACTCTCAGCAGAGCATCAGCGGTTCCTCTGCCTCTGGTAGAGCCGTATTGCCGTGGATGGCTTGCTTGATTGAGAACTGGCCGTAACCTGGTCATCATGAGGTTCTCCAGTACCTTACTCATCACAGGGAGGAGACAAATTGGTCTATATGACTTAGGAAGTTGTTTATCCCTGCCTCCTCCCTTGTAGAGGAGTCTCAAATCCATTCCATTTCCTTGGGAAGTATCCCCTATCTAAACAATCATTAAAGATTCCTAAAAGTCGCTCTTCAATATAGGAGATACTGTTCTTTAGGATCGCTGCATCTATAGCATCAAGTCCTGGAGCGCGGCCATTCTTTTGCCTACCCACGGCATTACGAATATCATCTGCGTCCCATGGTGAGCAAAAGTCAGTGCCTGGCGGGTATACCATGGTATGTCTCACAAAATGTTCCTCTTGGGTGTCTTGAGATGGGTCGTCCTTGGTGTAAGTCGCTTTGACGAAGAAATTAGCGGTCTCTTCTAAGGTAGTAGCATGGACATCTTCATGCCTCATCGCCGCTATAGTTTGCAGCGGAGTCAACTTGCCCAGAGCCTCCTTATACGGAATACCCTAAGGATTCTTTGAAGATTCTTCGACGATAAAATCGTCCCAAGACTTCCGCTTTCGTGAACGAACCTCATTTCGGTATACCCTGGCCATGGACTTATACTCGTTACAAAGTGCAGTGCGCCTCTCGTCGCATCTGCACCTCTGGTACGACCGCCGTGCCTTGTAGAGGTCTCTCTTCATAGCTGTTAAGGCCGGCGTCCACCACGGGACAGGTTGAGCTCTCAAAGCAGCTCTATTGGCAGAATGGGATTCAATTAGCATAATGATGATATAGATGAATCGAAACTTTTTTACATTCAGATTAAAGTTTTATCTTTCCCTGCTATGAGATTAATGATCCAGCATGAACTTGTTATCATGTTGATACACCTTTGCCTCTACTACCCTTCCTGATTAATAAAAATAATTTAATAAAAGATTTTTAGCAATGTTAAAGAACAATTAACTGTATGAAAACTTTTTTTGACAGTAAATAAAAAAAAGACAAAATACATAATATTTTTTCACAACTGATATCTTATAAACAACCAAAATTTATACAATATATAGTCCAAAATCATTTATATATTATAAAAAAAATTAATAAAACTGGTCTGACAATTGATCAGAAATAAAATGAAATGAGTATAAACTATTTATCCAATAACAACATTTCGACCCACATTGTAAGTCTTCATCAGGGCTGAAACAAAGTAATAGGAGAGTCTTAATTGGTGGAACTATGAAAGGTTTTCCCTTTAATTTGACTTGTAAATTTCTAATTGAAAAATGGAGTACATGAATGCAATCATTATAATTTATTTCTCTAATAAACTGTATTAGTTTAATATCAACAGATATTTTATTTATCATGTATTGCACCTTATACTAATTAATATTAATTGTTTGTATCTTTTTTGGTCCTGAAGAAGACCCACAATGTATGTCAAAACTTTGGAAAATACAACAAAAAAATACTATTATATGATATAGTATTATATATCACAACTTATCCTCAAATAAGAAAAATAAAGAGTTGAAAGGGGTTTGCTATTTTAGGTCCAATAAAACATCTTAATAGAATGATCATAGAATAGGAAAAATATTATTGTCTTTGAACAATTAACAATCATAAAAAAACTGATGAAAACAAAACAAGAAAGAACAACACAACATTTAATAACACAATTTTTTTAAGAAACCAATAAAATAAAGGACAATAATTAAGAAAACAGTTCACAAACAAACAGAATAAATAAAGGCATATTCTACAAAATGACATTACAGTACAAACAAATAATATTAAAAAAATATGATCATCCAGAAATTAAATTACGTTTAGACAATAATAATAAATTGAGTAAATTAATAAGCAACACGAAAGACAAAATAGACACACTAGACAAAAATATGTAATATACAGACTAGCATGCCAAAATTATCAAAAAGTAACACACAGGAGAAACCTCAAAAGAATTGAAAACAAGAATAGAATAACACATTTCAAGCTGCAAAAAACATAACAAATATCATAATAACATAAACATAAAAATGCAGCACAATTTCAACTTTGATAACCCACAATTAATTGGTATTGAACAAAAACATAATAATAGAAACCATCCACATCACAAAAAAACAATATTATAACTGTAAATTTGATAACAGATATTGCTATGTATTGAACTTAGCCTAATGGTAACTAATAATATTTAAAGATAATTTCTAACACCTGGGCGGGTACCTGAAACCCCCAACCCAACCTTTTGTAAGTAGTTACTTAGATAGTGGTCGGGATACCTGATAACCCCCTAGCAACCTTTTAGTACTCTTAAGAATATTCTTAGCACACCCACTAGCAATAGAAGTACTTGACGACACATGTCGGCCAAAAACACCAAAGGACCAGTCTTATGTTTAAAGAGGATCAAAAAGCTTTTAACTCTTAAGCATAGGAAGAAACGGTTGTGTACCTGCTAAAAGGGGTGTGTTCAACATATCGCTGGGGGTGTGGTCATCCCTTCTGCTACAAAAATTGAACCAATGGGAACAATTCTTGCCCCACCCAAAATATGGTTATAAAACCCACTGAGAGGGAAAGAAGAGAAGCTTTTGGGCTTACACCACTGCCCGGCATAGAGGAGATGTCTGATGGACTGCCCGGCATAGAGGAGAGATCTGATATGGAGAGCCGGCTTGGAGGCTGATGTTTTCTTCTGGCTGGAGGACTGTTTTCTCCTGAACCCCTACCTGAACAATGATGATCTAAGACTTCGCAGATGCAGCAATGACATCTGTCAAAATCCACTACTTCGCATAACATATAGATAAGTAATTCCCAACAATTTCTTTAAAGATGTTTAAATATTTAATGGCAATGTAATTTTAATTTCCATCCATCTGAATCATGCCACACATAACCAATTGTTTAGTTCATTAAATTTTTGTAAATAGAATGTATATACAAATTCTTTCTTATATAACTTGTAAATATATATAATTTGTACATAAAAGTTATTTTAATCATGCCACCTATTGATATCATTATAAGCACAGGTAATGTTTGGTAATTAGAGAACAGATAAACACACAACAAGCCTTTGTGAGAAGTAATCCAATAAATTAATCATGGACCAATATGTCAAATGACATAATTTGTTTAACCAATATTTTATTAATTAATTCATATTAAATAATTCTGGATAATTATCTTCAATAATTGTCCAGTGGCATCCCGTTCAAAATCTATAAAAACCAAATTGACACGTAGCAATATCAAACATACTATACCGACATAATAAACAGAATCAAAATACCAAATAAATTTAACCAAACTAACAGGAAAACAGTCCATAGAAGGAGGGAGAATGAAAAGGAAAATACAAAGAAAATTAATGTTCTTCATAAATGCAACCAATTGTTAGCCAAAATAAATTTTGCCCCTGATTATGCTAAATTTAAAAAAGTAAAAATAATGGTATTATGAAAAAGGGAGTACACCAACAAAATAGGTAAATTCAACTTGAAATCATATTAAATTATAATTAAGATTAAATGTAATTGTAATTAATCCTTATTTTATGTTCTTACTGGGGTTCATCAATAGAATAAAACTATGATCAGGGGTAGAGCACTTTATTATATTTAAAGTATTAACATCAGGTACATCACCTCTAGCTTCCATGCTTACCCAAGCTACACCGAATTGGCGTCTTCCCGCCTGAAACAGTGTTGCCATAATGACTTTCTAAACACATTTAATAATATTGGATAGTCCACAACACCTTATACTGTAGAAAAAAAAATCTGATGAAAACTGTAGATAGTTCTGATGATGGAAAATATATCCCAAAATGTCAAATTGTAATGCTATGTGACAAATAAAGTATACATATAAGTCACAAAGGAAGTTATATTTGCCAATCTCATTAGAATTAACAAATACTAAATGTAATGATGATTTGATGTAGGGAAGTGGTGGCCCCATCACTCAGTCCTTCAGGTTGGGGAAACATCTACATAAGCAACCACACACCCAGTATACTATATACAGCACACTATAACACCCATCACTAAAGACAGATGTCACATACAGTAAACACGCTATGGAGGTCGTGATGGCCGAGTGTGTTGGAGCTTAGCCCATTCTAGCATCCTCATGCCTTGCAACACTGGTTCGAATATGGCTTGGGAGGGGTTGAATTTTATTTCGTGGTGGACTCACGGAATGAAACTCTACCCTCCCACACTGCTTAGAATAGATTTGGTTGTACCTCTAGAACAACCCTCTCCCCTCCCTCCGTACACCAAAAATTGTGGGTAGGGAGTTATCCAATAAAACAAAAAAAAGTACAACCTATGATCACCTCCTCTAGGTAGCCGTTTGGATACTCTGAGGAGGCAGCCCCTCCAAATGACTGGGAACATCTTACAATCTTTTCCCGTATGGTGCAGATATTTGGTTATGCTGATGACCTAGATATAGTTGCAAGATTTCAGCCAGAGATAGAAGAAGCATTCCTTAACCACATGTTGGCAGCTTTAACCATTGACTTTGTTAAAAATTAAGTCAAAACTAAGTATTTCTGCACATGGAGTGGAGGAGAGAGATCTGGAGTTGCCTATTAGCCTTTACATTTTTGAAAGGGTAACAGTGTTCACTTACCTTGGATTCCACATCTGAATGATATGTCAGCCGAAATAAAGAAAAGATTGTCAGCTGTGAATCAGTGGTACTTTAGACTACTAAAGACCTTTTGAAGCAGATTATTGAGCAGACAAACCAAGCATACTCATTATAGGATCTTAATCATACCTGTTCTCACCTATGCCCCATAGACATGGCCCAATATCAAAAGGGACGAAAAGGACCTTATGAATTTTGAACAAAAAAAGTGGCGTATTATTGATCCATTGAGAGTTACTGAGGGATGGACAAAAGGAAGAAACGAGAGCTGTACCAAATCTAAAAGGAGGTTGATGTGATCAAATTCATTAAGCTTGAGAGAATTAGTTGGTCAGTGGTCACATGGCAAAGGTTAAAGGTCTATTAAAGCTATTAAAGGAAAGTAGCTGAAGAGTTTCTTTGTAGGACTCTGGAAGACCAAGGTTAAGTTGGTCTGACTAAGTGACAGTGGACGCAAAAAGACTACTAGAGATCATCAACTGGAAGGTGGCAGACAGCACAGGACAGAGCCAAATGGTGGAGGTTTATTGAGGAGGCCAAAATCAACTCAATGTTGTAGTGCCATGGAAGTAGGTAAAAGTAATGATGAAATCATAAATAGCTAATTAATTGAATAAAAAAAAGATTACCTTTTCACGTTCTGTTGTTTTTTTCTGAAGTCTTGGATCATATAGAAATGGTTTCAGTACACACATCAGTTGATCAGAATGTATTCTCATAACACAATTTGTGATTTCACAAGACTTCACAAAATGACCTTCAATACCAGTTGATCCCATAGCTTTTACCATATTTTGAGTTAATCGAAATGGCACTTTCTCAGGACAACTAAACGTTTGAGCCTAAAAAAATAGAAATTTATTAATAAGATTTTTAAATATACATAGTAGAACTTTGTTATCATGCTCTCCCGGAGCCCAGAGAAAGAGTGCTATAACCAGGAAATTTCAATAACCTAGAAATCATAAAAAACAAAAAAAAAAAACTACTAAAATGAATATTTCCAAATTTATAAACCAAATATATGACAAACATTAGAGAAAAATTAGAGTACAACAGTATTTTTCAACAATTTCAAAAAGACTTATGATTCCATTGACTGCCAGAAGCTGTACGAATGTATTTGTTGGACGTTTCGGGAAATGTTCTTCCCATCATCAGAAACATAGTGTTTACAGTTGTTCTGTCTTTTTTTTTACAATCGGAGATCAACAAAAATATGTATAATAATAGAAAAGAAACAAACAACCTTGCTTATATTGTCACAAAAGGAGCACAACAAAAAAAATTACAGGAATTTTATTAAAATTCCTGTACATTTCTCAGTCGCTAAACACTCTGCTTATATAATTTCAAACACAATTAAATAACAAAATTTCTAGCAATCATAATATTAAAATTTTCTTCACGAAATTTTTGCTTAGGCCGGACCCTTCCAATTTTTTTCATCAAATACAAAAATTGTGATAACTTCAAAACGGCTCCTCCGATCCACACAAAAATTATTAGGAATCTAGGGCTTTATATGCTACACGAAATGGTAAAAAACCAACCAATGACAAATAAGTAAACAAATTAGAACTAAAGATATAAAATGAAAATGATTGAGAAGTTTTTCTTAATTTCTAGATTAAAAAAAAAATTAAATCTAAAACTTCATCTAAATTCTAAATTAAATATAAATCGATGTTAGTTGGAAGAGCAGTAATTCATCTTTCTAACAGTTGTATTAAAGTTGAATTTGGAGAAAATTTTGAGAAGTTATGAATACTTTAGTTATGGGTCAGAAAAAAATCCACCAAGAAAATCAAGAATTTCACAATTTTTGATTTCTAAAAAAATTCGTATTTAAGAGTTTCAAAGAACACTAAAATCTATCTTGCTTTTTCATAACAAAAAATTACTTGGCTTACTTTTGGTTTTTGTAATTCATGATACATTATAACTCATTTAATACAATAGTCAATATTTTTTTCTTATTCTGTACAAAAAAAATTGAATTGATATATAATAACATAAAAATCTGGACAAAACAAAGGCATAAATAAATAACAAAAATTTTGTTTGAAATTATATAATTTTTTTTTTCGGCTACTAGGGCCCATTGGAGTGAACTCTGGGACATGTATCCCATATTTGTCGATGTAGTATCATCGAATAAAAATTGGTTGAAATCCGTGATTCACTGACTTAGGCTTCTCCTTGTTAGTGTGTTTAACCTGTAACCTGACAATACAATATATATATATATATATATATATATATATATATATATATATATATATATATATATATATATATATATATATATATATATATATATATTGTAATGTCAACATTACATGACATTTAAATAGTGGCGCGCGTGCGGATGGTGGGGGAAGCAAGCCTCATGTAACTCAGAATGTGACGGGCCGCCAAGAGAGAAGGTGATAGCGGCCAAGAGAGAAGGTGACAAGCTGTCAAGAGAGTAGGTGCTAGCCAGCAAGTTGAGAAAATAGAAAAAGGAGTCCTAGCCGGTTCGAGTGTTGATAGAGGCCACTAGTGAAGATTATTTTATGTTGGAAGAAAACAACAGCAGAAAATAATTAAGTGGTACAGAAAACGGGACATTCGTAAGTAAGAAGAGATTATTTCGCTGGCAGGCGTAAACATTTGGGTGAGTGCTAACAATGCCATTTATGTTGACAGAGGGATAGAACCAAAAGTTTAGACCGGGACAAATTATTTTATAAAATATTTTAAATTATAAATAAGTGTAGTTAGTAATTAGTAAATTAGTGTACATTGTAGTTATTAAATGTTGAATGAGTGTTCAGTTGTCAGAACCCAACCTGAGATTTATGTTATGTGTTAAAATAAATAATATATTGAAAAAGGAAACTCGTTGTTTTGATTTCTGTTGACAAAGGGAACGTTACAACATATATATATATATATATATATATATATATATATATATATATATATATATATATATATATATATATATATATGTATATATATAGTATACATATATAGCATTTCCAAGTCAATTTCAACCTTTTCCAAGTCAAATTCAACCTTTTCCAAATCAAATTAAACTTTTTCCAAGTCAAATTCAACCTTTTCCATTTCAAATTAAACCTTTTCCATTTCAAATTAAACCTTTTTTTATTTATTTAATTATCTTTAATTTTTCGATGTGTGGGTCTGTTATCGTATGATTAGTTTTTGAAAATAACCTCCTTTTTAAGATTACGTGACTGAGTTTCGAATTATTCAAGTTTTTTTTAATTATTCGATATAAGGGTGTAATTTTATGTTTCCCGATCAGTAAATTTTGAAAATGACACCCATTTTATGTTTACGCCACTGTGTTTTGATTTATTTAAGTTTTTAGAATTTATCCAATATAAAGGTCTACTTTTATGTTTCTGGAGCCGTATATTTTGAAAACGACCTCCATTTTAAGATTAGGCCACCGCGTTTCGACTTATTTGAGTTTTTCGGATATTTTTCATATGAGGGTGTATTTTTATGTTTCCGGAGCTGTAGATTTTGAAAATGACCTCCATTTTAAGTTAACGCCACTGCGTTTCGGCTTATTCAAGTTTTTCGAATTTATCCATTATTAAGGTCTACTTTTATGTTTCATGAGCCGTAGATTTTGAAAATAACCTCCATTTGATGATTACGCCATTGCATTTTGACTTATTTAAGTTTTTCGAATTTATCCAATTTAAAGGTCTCCTTTTTGGTTTTCGGAACCGTAGATTCTGAAAATGACCTCTATTTTATGATTACGCCACTGCGTTTCAACTTATTTAAGTTTTTAGAATTTAATAAGTATAAAGGTCTAATTTTATGTTTCTGGAGCATTAGATTTCCCTCATTTTGTAAATGACCCAATTTCAAGTTTATGCCACTGTTTTGGATTATAAAAGTTTTTTTTTTTTACTTTTTCGGTTTAAGGATCTACTTATATGTTATCCGAGATGTATTGAAATTTTTCTAATCTTTAATATTTAAATTTATCTAATATTTAAGCTCCATTTTATGATTAAGCCGCTGCATCTCGAATAATCAGGCTTCATTTTGGATTTTTTCAATACAAAGTTTCATCAATATGTTTTCGAGTATGAATAAATAAATAAATATTATGAAGCTAAAGTTAAATTAACCACAGAATACAAACTAAAAAGCCGAAAAGCAGCTGGTAATAAATTTAACCTTCCATATTCAGATTTTTCAGCTAATTGTTCGAAATCTTATAATTTTGTGACAGGAGATCACAACATTAAAAAAGATTACTAAAATTAAATTAAAAATGAGACAATACATATTTTATTTTTTTTTATTAGATATTTTTATTTATTTATTGAAAAATAAATTAATCCTTCGTATTTTTTTTTTTATTCGAAGGAAAAATCAAAAACACTTAAAAAAACTGAAACACAGTGGCCTAATCTTAAAATGTAAGTCGTTTTAAAAACTAAGGCTCCGGCATCATAAAAGTAGACCTTTAAATTGGATAAATTCGAAAAACTTGAATAAGCCGAAACGCAGTGGCGTAATCTTAAAATGGAGGTCATTTTCAAAATCTACAACTCCGGAAACATAAGAATACACTCTTTTATGATAAAAATTCGAAACACTTAAAGAAATCGAAATGCGGTGGCCTAATCTTAAAATGGAGGTCGTTTTCAAAATCTACGGCTCCGGAAACATAAGAATATATCCTAATATGAAAAAAATCCGAAAAACTCAAAGAAATCGAAACGTGGTGGCCTAATCTTAAAATGGAGGTCGTTTTCAAAATCTACGGCTCCGGAAACATAAGAATACACCCTCATATGAAAAACATCCGAAAAACTCAAATAAGTCGAAACGCGGTGACCTAATCTTAAAATGGAGGTCGCTTTCAAAATCTACGGCTCCGGAAACATAAGAATACACCCTCATATGAAAAACTCAAATAAGTCGAAACGCGGTGGCCTAATCTTAAAATGGAGGTCGTTTTCAAAATCTACGGCTCCAGAAGCATAAAAGTAGACCTTTATATTGGATAAATTCTAAAAACTTAAATAAGTCAAAACACAGTGGCGTAAACATAAAATGGATGTCATTTTCAAAATTTACTGATCGGGAAACATAAAAATACACCCTTATATCGAATAAGTCAAAAAAACTTAAATGATTCGAAACGCAGTCACGTAATCTTAAAATGGAGGTTATTTTCAAAACTAGGTACTGGACAGCATAATACTAGTCCCTAATAAATCCGAATAGGTACAATAAATCGATATCCGTAAGTGAAAATTCTACTTAGGATAGCATAATAATAGACTTTCATATTGGAGGGGGGGAGGGGATGGCCATTATTTAAAAAAAATATATAAGATTTACAAAAAATTAAAACATTAATTTGAAATGAAAACGGTTGAATTTGAATTGGAAAAGGTTTAATTTGAAATGGAAATGGTTGAATTTGACTTGGAAAAAGTTTAATTTGATCTGGAAAAGGTTGAATTTGACTTGGAAAAGGTTGAATTTGACTTGGAAATGTCATAGAAATATCACACTGAAAAAATCTAAAATGTTAAAATAAATGGATATGCAACCGCGTTATCAAATTTTTTTTTGTATTTTTCAAAAGCTATGCCTTCGATAATATAGTAAGTGGCCTTCATTTCGAAAAAAATCGAAAATTGAAAAAAATTCAAAAGTTGAATTTGAGATGGAAAAGGTTGAATTTGACTTGGAAAACGTTGAATTTGAAATAGAAAAGGTTTAATTTGACTTGGAAAAGGTTGAATTTGATTTGGAAAAGGTTAAAATTGACTTGGAAATGCTATATATGTGAGGGGGCTGAGGTAGCCGTACGAGCTAAGGCACTTGCTATAGGTAATCAAAGTTAAGCAATGTCGAGCATGGATAGTACTTGGATGGTGTCTGCCCGATTTGGGTTACCATCCACCAGGGAAAAAAAAACCATGCTGCCCAAGTTTCTCCTCCCCCCTCCCCGGTATGTGAGACCTGTCAGTCTACGGGAGGCAACTCACACCGACCGGGCATAGGACTGATGGCCCTACCCCTTGTACTTAATCGGGAATCGGGATGTGGTCTACAAGGATGTCAGTAGCCGCCCTGAGGTTTGGTCCGTGGACAGTCTGTTTCGGAGAAAGAAATATAGGTCCTCCTGCGCCTGCTGATTCCGAACAGTCATAATCCATGGATCTAGACCAATTTGTCACTGTCCTTGAACCCGAGTGAGTCGGTGAGAAGGACACTGCCAGATTGGCCCCAAAGGGATCGGTTATGGAGCTACGGGTGGCCTGCCGCTGCACCATGGTAACCATGGTTCGTAGCAACGTAAGGTTGGGTGATCCCCTCCAGACTAGCTGAGCTCCCGCAAGCAACATACATCTGTAAGGAGACCACATCTCACGGCCATGGTTCAAGATCTTCATGGTTTGTAGTGGCAAAAAAAAAAAAAAAATATATATATATATATATATGTATTAATAAATATTATATATATATATATATATATATATATATATATATATATAATATTAAAAACCTTTTATAAACAATAAAATACAAAAAAAAAATACATTGATCAAATTATTAAAGATTAAAAGCTTTCATACTTTGTTAAATAAACAGTTAAAATCAACATGGACGAGGTCTCCATTTGTTGTATCAATCAGTATATTTTCACCATGTCTATCACCAAGTCCAACTGCATATCCAACAACTGACATTACAGCAGCAGTTCTTATAAAAGCCAATCTGGCAACATACCTTGAAGTAGACATGAAACAAGAAAAACAAAAAAAATTGATAAATATAAGAAATTATGCTAACTAATTATTTTCTAATCACATTAAAAAAATTCTGTAAATAAATATTAATATTTAAAGGAAATAATCAAGCTTAAATCTAATTCCAGTATAAGACAGAAAAGTATAGTTTAAGATTAAAATATATACCTATCTATATATATAGTTCTGCGCATGCGCTAGTATCTTTCAACCCACCTGCTACATCGTCTCACAATTATCATAATTACCAGTGAATTAGTGAACAGTTGTGTTAAAAAATTAGTGCAATTGAACAATTATATAGTACATTCTTGAACAGATCCATAAACACGGTGAGTAACCGCTTGTTTATTAAGTTTGAACAATAGTGTAAACAACCATAGAATTAGATAGAGTGGCCATTCTTATCTACAGTCCTCCCACATAGGCCTAGGTAGGCTCAGTGCCTAGTTGGGCTGTTAAGTAAGCTAGGTCATATCACTCGGCCCTCTATCAGTCTGCGTAATTCTTACATACTTATAAAAAAAAAAAAAAAATTTCCAATAGTCGTTGACATGAAATGAGATATTATCATATGATAATGTCTATCAAGAACAAAAGATCAAGAAGCTTAGGCAATAATAGCTCTCGTAATTAACCAGTAAAACAAAAGCCTAGGCATTCAAACAGTAAAACACAACCATCTATACCTGATAGACCAAATGATGCAGTGAACGACCCACAACCTGGTACCTCAACAGACAGAAATTATGACCACCGAAACAAACAATGAAATTGAAGAATCACCTTTTTTTACTGTTAACCCATACCAACTACTATCTAATACCCCAGAAGAAACCATGGAAATACCATCAACCCCCAGAGAGCCAAAACCACATCCAATATTCATAAGAAACATAAAAAATTTTCCACTATATTGCCAGCATTTAAATAAATTACTTAAAAAGGGTAAATACACATGTCAAAGTAGAACCAATGACACCAAGTTGATGCCAGATTCTCCTGAATCATATAGAAAAATAGTAAAATACTTGACAGATACAAAGGCGAAATTCCATACTTATCAATTATTTCAAGAGAGAGCACTAAGAGTGGTGATAAGAGGTCTCCATCCAACAACTCCACCTGAGGCAATTAAAGAAGAATTGACAGAACTGGGTTTCAGTGTCCGCCAAATTGTCAATGTATATAAAGATAATAAAGAGCAACAAGGTGCAAACAACAAAATAGCACTACCACTATATAAAATATAATATCTTAAAATCAAGATTACAGACAGCACCTAGACATGAAGAGACTCCCAGACCACCAAGGCAACCCTCAAGATTTGCAAACAAAGAAGTCTCCTATGCTCAAATGTTAGGAGAATTAGAACAGCATCCTCAGGCTCTGCCGCAAACTCAACCACTACCTCATGGTTCACCACCCGAACATAATAACACCCAAAAGTTCAGTCCTCACCAAATATCCTACATTCCTCCCCCTAACAATTCCAATGACCTTACCAGCCTCCTTACATCATTCCTCTCCGAAATCAAATCCCTCATCACCCCGCTCATTGCCTTACTTACAAATGTCATAGCCAATCTTATCCCTTCGCCAAGAATTCCTTAAATGTCCTCAATAAAACCCCTCTCCATTCTCCGTTGGAATACGAATGGTGTTCGAAATTACATCAACGAACTAACCTTTTTTCTACAGGACAATAACATAGATATAGGCCTAATAACTGAGACCCGACTAACTAACAAAAGACAGTTCAAGATACCTGGCTACAAGATATATCGAACTGACCACCCTGATGGAAGAGCACATGCTGGCACTGCTGTCATTATCCATCAGTCCCTCTTCCATCACATATATCCTTTACCAATTCACAATTTCCTACAAACCTCTGCAATAACTATCCAAACTTCACTTTTTCCTCTTACAGTTGTCGCAGCATACTATCCACCTAAAATAGCAATACCTGAACCTAACTTCATTTCCTTTCTTAATTCCCTAGGACACCACTTCCTTATAGGTGCAGACCTTAACGCTAAACATCAGCAATGGGGAGCCAGAACCACGAATTCCCGTGGGCGATCGTTGCTGTCTGCACTTAATTCCCACAATTCCAACATACTTCCCCCTGATACTCCTACATACTGGCCAACTGATCCTAACCATAATCCTGACCGACTTCTTTATTCACAAAGGTCTCGGGCCGCTAAATTACTCAGTTCTACGGCTCAATGACCTTTCCTCAGATCACAGTCCGCTAAATCTAATCCTTTCCGCATCTCCTATCCCCAGGTTATCTCCTCCCTCATTCATCAGAGGCCCAATCAACTGGAACCTTTTCCGCCAAACAATAACAGATGCAATAGACCTCAGAGTATCCCTAAAAACCCCTCAAGACCTAGATAATGAAGTGAGCTCCTTTACCACCTTCATCCAACAAGCAGTCTGGACTGCATCCTCACCAATCCTCTCCAAAAAATATCTTAAAAAGAATCCTCTGCCTCAAAACCTTACTGACCTCATTAAATCCAAACACCAATCTAGGACCATCTGGCAAAGAACCAGGCATCCTGATGATCGGAAACTGTACAATTATTATTCCAAACAGGTAAGAAAAGAACTAACTTCCTATAAATCCCAGTCATACAAATCCTACTGCTCTTCCCTATCTACCGATGACAATTCCCTCTGGAAGTTGACCAGAAAAATCCTTAAATACCATTCTGTTTCCCATGCCCTCCCTCCGATGCGATGATGGAACCTGGGCATTGTCAGATGAGACTGGAGCTGAAGAATTTGCCAAACATCTATCCAAAACATTCAATCCCCACCCCGAACTCCATTCCACTCTCATTGCTGAAGTTAAAAAATTCCTCTCTTCTCCTATTCCTCTCTCCTTGTCTCCTATAGCTGTCAACCCCTCTGAGGTCAAATTCCTTATAAGCAATCTAAAACCTCGAAAATCCCCTGAACAAGATCTCCTTACTTCCCAGATCCTTAGACAACTTCCCAAAAAAGCAATTATACCTCACATACCTATACAACTGTATTCTCCGCACAACTCACTTTCCTCTGACATGGAAACATTCCATAATCATCCTCTTCCCAAAACCAGGTAAACCTGTCAATAATACCTCATCTTATAGACCAATAAGCTTGCTCCCAATCCTCTCCAAAATCTTTGAAAAAATCCTTCTCAAACGCATCCTACCCATACTCGAAACCCACAATATCCCATCCCATCAGTTTGGATTCCGCTCAAGACATTCCAATGTTCAACAAGGCCTTCGCGTTGTTGACCATATATCCTCTGAGCTGGAAGACAAGCAATATTGCACCGGTGCCTTTCTGGACATAGGGCAAGCTTTCGACCGGGTGTGGCACGAGGGCTTGCTTTTCAAGATCGAAACTCACTTACCCCAATCCTTGTACCTAGTCCTCAAATCCTACCTCTCAAATCGTTCCTTTCAAGTCCGCTGCGGCACTAAATTCTCTAACTATTATCCAATTGAGGCTGGTGTTCCACAAGGCAGCGTCTTGGGCCCAGTTCTCTTCATCCTCTTCACCGCTGACATTCCAACCAATCCCGATACCCTTCTAGCAACTTTCGCTGACGATACTGCCATCCTGTCATCCCACTCAGATCCTGAAACAGCATCCTTAAACCTACAAAGACACATCTCCCTAATTGAGCAATGGTGCAACAGTTGGCACATTAAGATCAATGAATCCAAATGCAAGGATTTCACCTTTACTCTCCGACGCAGATCCTGTCCACATATCCTTTTCAACTCTGTACCTCTCCCCGTCTCAGACACAGTTCGGTATCTTGGATTCCTTTTTGGACAAAAGACTAACTTGGAACCCACATACCAGACTTAAAAGACAAGAACTTAACCGACGATTTGGACAGCTATACAGATTACTTAACAGAAAATTCAATCTCTCAATAGAAAACAAACTATTAATATATAAGACCATACTTAAACCCATCTGGACCTACGGACTTGAACTTTAGTACTCAGTACCCCTAAATGTGGCAAAATGTATTATTTCTCAATAAAAAGATTTAAAAAAAAAATCTATACATATCTATGTATTTACAGAGAAATTTCTGATTGTAGACACTTCCTTATATCAGAATTTTCTCTATAGCGGATTCCCATCTGATTTCAAAATAAGTTTAAATTATAAAAAATAACTTCCCCATAACTGACATTCTCTATAACAGCTTGATAAAAGGATTTTGAATGAAAAGTATAACAGAGAACTAGAAGCCAGTGAGGCTCATCTTTGGAGAATATTAATCCAATTTATAGTAGCTTAGTTTAATTAGGTCTGCTGGGAATTCGGTTTTGAAATAAAGATTACAATCTTAACCTTTTATTAAATGTCAAAGAAAAATGTATGATTATTCATAAAAATAAAAATGCTTATCCAGGTAGAAAATAATCTCCGGAAATACTTGTCAGAAGGTATACGTATAATATATCATTGGAAAGCGGAGACTTTTAGAAAAAAACAATATCTAATATAGAAAGTTGTAGAAGATAACAGAGAATGGCAAAAAAATTATAAATAATAATTTTTAAAAACTAACATTATTTAACGTAAATCATGTTTTCAAGGAAATTAAATGAAATTTTCTTACTAAATAGACTTCAGGCTATCATGGACAAATATGGCTATCCCACCACTAGTCCGGCTGGCCCGGTCGTGACGGATGAGGGTGTAATTAGGTAAGGTGACAGATGAGGACGGAATATAGGGTTTGAGCTAGGTTTCTGAGATTATAATGATGTGAAAAAAGTTTTGAGAAAAGTACTGTAGGAATTCATCATAATGGGTGGGAAGGAATTGCGAGTTAAGGTAACAGGTGGTTAGGATACCAGACATGGGGAGGATTTGATGGGAAACAGTCAGAAATTAGCATAGAAGGAATGAAGCATAAACCATATTCTGAAAGACACTTAAAAT